CCAAAGGCTTTCCCATGATTCCCACACTGCTCTGAGCTGCTTAGAGACCATTAAAATACCCCAGGTTAGGAATGTGTAGCAGCCAACCTACACAGAGGGAGAGAGAGAGGAAGGGAGGAAGGAAGAAGGGGGGGAAGAAGGAAGGAAGGAAGGAAGGAAGGAAGGAAGGAAGGAAGGAAGGAAGGAAGGAAGGAAGGAAGGAAGGAAGGAAGGAAGGAAGGAAGGGAAGGAGAAAGATGGGGGGGAGAGAGAGAGGAAGGAAGGAAACAAACATTTACTAAGCACCTACTATGTGCCAGGCACAGTGCTAAGTACTTTACAAACATTTTCTCTTTGAGCCTCACAACAGCTATGCTGCCATTATTATCCCCATTTTTTTTTTGACAGCTGTGGAAACTGAGAGGTTCCTTAGGTCATTTGCCCAGGGTCACACAGCTAGTAAGAGCTGAGGGAGATTTGAGTTCAGGCTGATAACCTGTATGAAGGGCTTTGCCAGATTCAAAGCACTTTATCAATGTTGGCTATTACAATTACATATGTTGGGGGTCCAGTTCTGTGATTTTATTAGTGTAGAAACTCTCCGCTAGTCCTGAGCAAGGACTACTGGGGAAGGCTGATGCTTGGGATACTAAATTAAGTGACTTAGAGGTTTAGTCAGAGGAAGGGGAAGGGGGCACCTAACCTATAAAATGACTAACCCAAGGTCATCCTGTTGGCAGCCTGCATCTGTGGCTAGATCTGCACCCAGGTCCTTAAGTCTCCCAGGCTCATTCTCTCTCCTGCCAGCCTCAATAACAATGACCACAATAATCAGCTAGGATAATAACACTGCACTCTCTCACCAGGGCATTTGGGGGATCAAATGACATGATGGGTGAGAACACTGGAAACGTGCTCTGTGCTCTGGAAGCACAGAGGGACAGCTTCATAACTGCGACTTTGCTCCCCATCATGGGGCCAGGCCTCCTGACCCCCCCCCCAATCCACCCCAGAATCCTGACCAGTTCTGCAGGGCAGCCATTTCAGGCTCAGAACTGGGACTTCTGGCCATTGCTATTGGGTCATTTTCTTGGCCAGAATCAAAGCTGACAGCTGGATGAAACCAGAGACAAACCAAGCTGGCTGTCTGACAAGACTGTTTGGTAACAGGGAGCCCTGGGCTGGGTGGGAGTCAGAGGAACTCTGTTCTAGGCTTGGCTATGAATGTTGAGGGGCATCAGGGTGGTGCAGTGGATAGAGTGCCATCCTGGGCTCAAGATGACCTGAGTTCAAATCTGGCCTCAGACACTTACTAGCTATGTGACCCTGGACAAGTCACTTAACCTTGTTTGCCTCAGTTTCTTCATCTGGAAAAGGAAATAGCAAACCACTCTAGTATCTTTGCCAAGAAAACCCCAAATGGGGTCACAGAGAGTCAAACACCACTAACAACATAACTTTTGAGTAAGTCCCTTCAATTTAATTCACAAACATTTATTAATCACCTGTTAGGTACAAGACCAGAAGCAGTATAGCACAGGAAAGGTCCGTCTTAAGGAGCCAGCAAGACCCGGTTTCGAGTCTTAACTCTGGACACATACTGGTTTTCTGATTTTGAGCTAGTCACTCAAATTCTAAGACCTAGTTTCTTCATCTGTAAAATGGGGATAATAACATCTGTAATCTATCAATCTATAAGCATTTAATAAGCCCCACTATATGCCAGGCACTGTTGGGTGTTAGAGATATAAGATAAAAATCAATCAACCTACAAGCATTTATTAAGTTCTAGCTGTACACCAGGCACTAGGTTAGGTGCTGGGGAAAGAAAGGAGAATGAAACAGTCTTTGCCCTGAAAGAGGGTATAGTCTATTCATAGTAACTATTGCCCTGAAAGCCGCTGTGATGAGTCAGTGGACAATGGGTAAACTTTGGAGACTAGAAAACCTGGGTTCAAGTGTTGCTGCTGACACACACTGGTGGTGTCATTTACCTTTTGAGTGCCTAAGGCCACTCTCTAAGACAGGTCTGGACCAAATTTCTGAATGGGCAAGGTGCTGTGGCCTCAGTTTCTTCATATGTAAAAGAAGGGTTTGGCTTAGCTGACTGCCAAGATTTTGTCCAGCTCTATTAATTTGAGACGGTCCAAGGTACGCTCATCCAGTGACCAAACCCTTTGCCACCTCAAGGTATTGTTAGTAACATGTCCCCAAAAGCTTTCCCAGGGCAAAGCAAAACCCAACCACGTCCTCTCCAGGCATCAGAAAGTTCATTTCCTTTGCAAAGTTTTTTCTGCCCTGACAAATTGGTCTGAAAGGACTAAGCGCTGGCAAAGAGGCTGACATACTTCGTGGCCAGGAGCCCCGCTGCTAAAGAGACTGATGGCAGTAGGTACTGGATCGTCTCCTCTCTGGAACCCACCATGAGGCTCACCCAGTCTGCCAGGGGAAAGAATTTCCCAGTTACTTAAAAGACTGAACACCGAGTTTGGAGTTGGGGGATCTAGTTCTACTGTATACCAGCCTTCTGACTGCAGGCAAATCACTACCTCCTTGTACCTCAGTTTCCTGGTCCATAAAATGGGGATAATAATATTTGTGGGGAAAGTTCTTCGCAAAGTACTAAATCTTCAGCTCTACAAAGGTGAGGACAGGCTTTTATTTAAACTTTGTATCTCCCCCAGAATCCATCAAAGGACTCTGCCCTCACACAGTAGGGGCTTAGTAAAGGCTTGATAAATAAACAAGTGAGTTGTACAGAGCTGTAGAGACAAGTCACTTAACCTGTCTGGACCTCAGTTTCCTCGTCTGTCAAATAAAGGGGTTAGATTGGATGATCCCTTTTGTCTTTAAATCCTACGAATGCAGTATTATTAGAAAATCAATTGTACCTAAAATGTGCCAGTAGGTTCAGAGGGACCATGGTACCATTTTCTAACCTTCTGGTGTTGAGACCACTTCAGAAGGGCCAAAGGCCCCACCCCACCCCCAGCCCCACCCCTGGGCTTCCTTAGGCTCCCAGCTCCTGCTGGCCTTTGCAGGACTCTAAGAGAACCTTTGGGTCACAGATTTAGAGCAGGAAGGGGCTTCAGAGATCTCCTAATCCCATCCCCCCATTTTACAGATAATACTGGGACCCAGATATGCTGTGTGACCTGCCCAAGGTCACGCAGAGAGTAAATGACAGAGTTCCTCCTACAGCTCTCTTGTATATACTCTGTACAGTGCATTCATTTATTCAGCAAGCCTTTATTAAGTACCTACTGTATGGAGGCAGAGAGCCCTTCGATGAGTATGGGAGATGCTGTTTAAATAGTGTCTCAAGTGGGATTTGAAGCCAGATCCTCCTATCTTCAATTTCCATCTCTTTCCCATAGACAGTGATGCCTCACGATGTCTCTGGACATAAGACTGCCTGTGGCAAAGGAGCTCCCATGTCCTGAATACCCGGGATTCAGGCATCTTCTGCAATATAAGCTGCAGAGGCTCTGACCAGAGAGCCAACCGGTCTTCTTCCTCAACAATAAACAGGGCCATTGAAGGTCCCAGTAAACAGTCTCTGAATCCCAGAGTCCGAGTAGGAAGGGAGTTCAAAGGTAACTTGGTCAGCCCTTACCTGAACTCAAATGGCCCCAAGCACATAACCCCCAGGGGCCACTGAGCCTTCCCACTGTCTGTCCTGAGTGCCGACTCTGAGCCCAGCTTCGATGTCATGGGATACACAGGGGTGACTCCCCCCGCCCCCAGCTTATATTCTACTGGGGAAGGGAGGCAGGGAGGGGAGCAAAGCAACACAGGACACTGTAAAAACATCAGAATGAATGAGACTGTACAGAACAGAATGAGAGGGGCAGTGTGGGCTGGAGTCCCACCAGAGCATATTAGCCTATAAGTAGCCTTGCAGATCAACTACTGCCCTTCTTTTAGGGATAAGGGAGCTGACTCAAAGACAGGCATTCAGGGGTTAGCGGCAAAGCTGGGACCCTCACCCGTCTCCCCCGATTCCATTTCCCACTACTCCCCAAGGTCCTAGCCTCTGTTTCTCCCCCATACCCCGATTCCCTCAGTCTTCTCTTTCCTCTGCTGCTTTCTGGGTTGGGTCCAATGAAGGGATTAAGTGGTCCAGAGATGAGAGAGAGAGAGAGAGAGAGAGAGAGAGAGAGACAGACAGACAGACAGACAGAGTATGATTGGGGGTGTGTGTGTGTGTGCACGCGCGCGTGTGCCTGCCTGCCTTCGTGCCCAAGCGTGCCCGAGCCAGCTGTCTAGGATGTGTGCATCTGTGTATACGTGTGACACTGCCCAGGGGGATCAGTGCCAGCCCTAGCCCCCAGCAGCCCTGCCCACACAGCGGGGAAGGAGCCCCGGATTACGTTAGAATCCACCAACAAGTATTTGTTTAACACCCATTAAGTGCCAGGCTCTATGCTGGACAGCGCTGGAGTCACAAAGACAAAAAAAAAAAAAAACAGTCCCTGCCCTCAGGGAGCTTACACACGGGGGAAACATCTGCACAGCCAAGAAGATAAATACATTTAAGTAACTACGGGTAATGGGGAAGCGGTGCCTCGCAACTGGAGGCATCAGGAAAGGCTTCGTGGAGGAGGTGGTACTGGAGCAAAGTCTTGAGGGGAACAAGGGATGCTAAGTGGCACAAGTGAGGAGGGATTCCAGAAACAAGGACAGCCTGGGAGAAGGTCACCGGTTGTGTGACCCTGGGCAAGTCCCCTTCCTTCCCTGGGGCCTCAGTTTCCTCATCTGTAAAATGAGGGGATCGGGACACATGCCTTCGAACGTCCCTTCAGGCACTAAATCTTTAGTGTAGACGCCTCTTGTTTGCCCCTTTTGCCAAAGGAGCGCGCTGAGGCAGGCTATCCCTAGGGTCCCTCGTAGCCCTGGCATTCCGTGATTCTAGCAATAACGCACCCTTCCTCGCCCCGCTGCCCCCCTCTCCGGCTCCCCAGCTTCCCCTGCGTCTCCCCCGGGGTGGGGCTGCGGGGGGCGAGGGCATGGGCACTTACCCAAGGTTCGGAGGCTTCCTGGGCGCGGGCGCCGCTCTCTGGCTGCCCCCTTGAATCTGCCCTCCTGCCCCCCGATTTAGGAACTCCCGCGCTCCCTACGCTCGCGCCCCGTTCCTCGAAGAGCCCAGGGCAGTGGCTGCGGGGGCTGCTAGTGCAGTGGCTGCGGGGGCTGCTGAGGCAGTTGCAGCAGTGTCTGAGTGCTAGCTCCGGGAGCCCCTGGCCCCGCGGGGAAGCTGCTGCTGCCTCGGTGGCTGCCGCTGCTGCCCTGGCTGCCCGAGCGCCCGCGCCCTCCAGCTCCTTTTCACTGGCGCCGCCCAGAAAACCCCTCCCCGGACCCACCCCCTTCCCAGCCCAGGCCCGGCCCCCTTTTGTTCTAACTTCTCTGCTGGGCTGCCCCTCCCCGAGCCCCAGCACAGGCCCAACAGGGGAGGGAAAAGCAAGGGAGGGATTGGGGCGCCCCCTACCCCTTCCCAGCTCCTTCACTCCCAGGGGTCGCGAACCATCACCACTATCTTGAGCTCTTCTGCTAAAGACCACAACTCCCATTTCTGATGAGACTTAGAAAGCCCCTTCCTCACCGCTCCTCTGGCAGGGAGGTGCCATCGACCGTCTCCAGGCCTTTGCACTGGCTGTCCGTCATGCTTGGAATGCACTCCCTCCTCACCTGTACCTGTTAGAACCCTTAACTCAGGTTAATCCCATCTCCCTAAGTGTTTCATTTGTCTTTGTATTCTGCATAGGACAGGGACCGGCACAGAGGAAGAGATGAAAAAATGTTTCTTCATTGATAGATTATCCTCATTTTGCAGACAGGCAAACGAGCTCAGGCCTGGGAAGTGACGGGGGCACACTGGGGCACAGAGGGGCCCAGGCACACAGCAAGCCCCGAGAGGAATCCACGCCTTCCTGACCTGAGGTCCATGGCGCTTTCCAATTTCTGTCTGACTCTGAGCACTGCATTTGGAGCCAGAACACCTGGGTTCCCAGATCCCAGCCTTTACACTTTCTAGCGGGTGTGACTTGACAAATTGCTCCAGCTCCCTGAGGCTCTCTGATTCTCTGCAGGCAGCCGCAGCACGAGGAGAACAGAACTTTGCAGGACGTCCTGTACCTGGCCCTTGTAAGGAAGGCACTGGGGAGGGAATCCTTCATGATGCTGGCACAATCGGCTTTCTTATACTGAGGGCTGGTCTCGGCTCTGAGTTCTGAACTGGTTACATGAGCAGACCTTTGGGAAAGTCCTGTAACACCTATTTCCTCATTCATAAATGGACGGGGTGGTCTGGAGGACTCGAAGGTCCTTTCTAGATCCCATCTGTGATTTTAGTCAATACCCGTTCAATGGATGTGGCTTTACCCATGGAAATGACGGGAAAGCCCATCTGCTTCGCTCCTGCATCCTAAGGACCATAGAACCCTGCCTCTGCCTTGTTTTGCACTCTCTCCTTTATTCGAATGGGAGCTCCTTGACAGCAGGATCTGTCTGGCTTTTCTACGTACATCCCCAGCACTCTGCACCGTGCTGGGCACATAGTAAGCACTTTATGCTTCACTTCCCATCTAACTGCATTCCTCTGGACTTTTCTATCATTCCCCCGGAGCCTCTTCATTCTGGAAAATCAAAATCAATCACTTTAGCCATGGAACTCAGACCCCAGTCAGCACCCTCTGCCCTGGGGCCTCTCCCTCTGATTAGAGGGTGTAGAGTTCCCCTTAAAATCTCCAGGTAAGGAAGGCAGCCGGGCCAGCCACCTCTTCACTTCCCACCAGGCTCCTCAGGGTATCTCCATCGTGTTCTTATCCCTGACAACTTTCCTCCCCTCCCCCTTCAGCTTCCTTTTGTGTGCCTTCTCCTATTAAAATGTGAGCTTCTTGAGGGCAAGAACTGTATCTTGCCTTTCTTTGTATCCTCAGAACTTGGCACATAGTAGGTGTTAATAAATGTTTGTTAACTGATTCATCCATTTATCTGTGCATTCATTCATAGTTGCACTTCAGCTTAGTGTGAAGTGTCCACTGGAATGTCCTAAGGGCTGGTGGCTGGCATTGTGCTGTTAGACAAGGTATTTGGATATAAGCTTGGATATCATACTTATCAAATGTGAAAAGGGCACAAAGTTGGGAGTTGCCACACCCACTGGGTGGTAGACCCAGAATTCAAAGACTTCAGGTCACTGGCCCAGCTCTAGCAAGATGAGATTTGATAGGAATTAAGGGAAAATCTCACACTTGGGTTTAACAATTAATTCCAAATTCACAAGTGTGACATGGAGGATGTGTAAATGAAGCATGGTTTTTCTAAAAAAAGAAAAAAAATTATGGATTTTTGTGGCCTGCATGGAAAATGGGAGCCAATGGCAGCTAAGCAAGTGAAGACAGCCTTAAACTGTGTGGAGGGAGGCAAAGAGCCCAGGAAGGAGGAAGTGATGGTCACTCTATCCTCTGCCCTGGTCCGGGCCCAGCAGGACTGTCGTGGTCAGCTCAGACATCATCACCTGTTAGGAAACACACTGACAAGCTGGAGTGTCCCAAAGAGAATACCCAGGGCGATGAAGGGCTCTGAGCCCCTATGGGCTGCACTAGGTTGGAGTGAAGGACATGGGGATGTTTAAGCCAGTAAGAGAAGGATTAGAAGAAAGGCAACAGTTGTCTTTGGATGGTGGTCCCTTGGAAGAAGGCATAGGCTTATTCTGCTTGGTCTCAGAAGACATATCCAGAAGCAATGGGCACAGTTGCTAAGAGGCAGATTTGGGCCAGGTGCCAGGAAAAACTTCCTAATGATCCGAACTGTCCAAAAGTGGAACATATTGTCTTAGAGAACTAACAAGCAGCTAGGTGACGAGTGGGTAGATTGCTGGGCTTGGAGTTCAAATCCTGCCTCATATACACACTAGCTCTCAATCTTGGGCAAGTCATTTAACCTCAATGAGCCTCATTTTCTTCATCTATAAAATAGGGGTGATAATAACACTCACTTTCCAGGGTTTTTGTGAAGCTCACATGAGATAACATATATAAAACGTTTTGCAAACCTTAAAGCACTATAGAAATGCAAGCCAATGTTTTTATTAGCGGATTCTTCCTCTGTGGAGGTGTTGGAGAAAAGGTTGGACCACCACTTGGCAAGAATGTTGCCGGCAACTACTTCTTCCCTAGATTGGACGAGATGGTCTCTGGGTTCCTTTCAACGACCAGATTCTGTGATTCTGGTCTTTCTACTCCCCTGCTCCAAAGTCTCTAGTGGCTCCCCAGTGCCTCCCAATTAAAATTTAAATTCCTCTGCCAAGCCTTCAATATGACACCACCCTACTTTTTTCAGACTTATCTACTCACTTACGAGCATAATTCCATTCCTGCTTCCCTCCCCTGCCCCCATCACTCACCCCAAATCAATCAAACCAATAAGCATTTACTGAGCGCTAACTGCTTCCAGGCACTGTTCGGTCACACACAACACCTTGCAGTTTCAAGGCTTCCACACCTCTGTCCCAATGCCTGGAATGTACTCCTGCGACTTAAATGCCACTGCCTCCATGAAGTCCTCCTTGATCCACCCAAGAAGGCAGGCACTATGATTATCCGCATTTTCCAGATAAGGAAACAGAGGCTCCGAGGGATGAAATGACTTGTCCAGACCTACACACAGCTGCCAAGTGTCAGGGGTAGGGTTTGAACCCAGGTCTCTCCTGACTTTTGAGTCCAGGGCTCTTTCCGTCGCTAGTATAAAGTGCTTTGAAAAGCTTAAGACACCATTTTAAAAGTCAGCTGTTGAGAAAGGAGGGGGACAGTCCCATGTTGACTTTGCCCAGATCCTGGAGTCAGCTTCGGTCCTGCCGCCACCTAGTGGCCATGATCTCCAACTGCATGGCTTGTTCCTATACCTTGTTCAGAACAGACTCCTTCCTCATCCCTCCCTCCACCTCATTTTACGGGTAAGACAACTGAATCTTGGGAAGGGGAAACCACTTGCACAACATCATACAGACGTGTTAAAGCCGGGACTCAAGCCAGATTTCTTGATCCAGATCTTGACCTTGGGCAAGTCAATTAACTTTGCCTTGGTTTCTTTTTTCTTTTTTTTTTTTTGTTAGGCAATTGGGGTTAAGTGACTTGCCCAGGGTCACACAGCTAGTAAGTGGCAAGTGTTTGGTCTGAGGCCGGATTTGAACTCAGGTCCTCCTGACTTCAGGTTTCTTCATCAGCAAAATGAGGGGATTGGATTCACTGGCTTCTGACGTCCTTTCTGGCTGTTGGGCTATGATATTATGACTTGGCTCTGCCTCTTAATATCTGTAAGACCGTGGACAAGTCATTGGAACCCCTTGGGGCTCAGTTTCCCCACCTGCAGAATGAAAGAACTGGACGAGATGGCTTCTGAGGCCCCTTCCAGTTCTAAAGCTACAATCCTATGGCTTCCCCCTAAACTGCTTTGTCTCTCGAGGACTATGATAGTTAAAGGCACTTTGTCTGCAAGCCCGGGTGTTCGAGTCATGAGGGCAGTGAGCACCAGCCTGACACCCAAATATTAAAGGATTATAATTCCAACCATAGCTTGTCTTTTCCTACAGGAACTCAGCCAGGGTCTTTCATGTTTCAGACTTTGCCCTTTCTTGGGGTTCTTCCTTCCTCTGCCTTGCCTGTTGCCTTCTCTCCTTTCCTCTCCCCTCCCTTTTCTCTCTCCCTATCCTACCAGGATGATCATAGGATCAAACAGAGCCTTGGAGCTGGAAGAGAACTTAGAAGACCTGAGTCCAACCTCCCCATTTTACCAATGAGGAAACCGAGGCACAGGGAAGTTAAGTGACTTGCCCAAGGTCACACAGTTAGAAAGTCTCTGACATGGGATTCCATAGCCATTGAGTTTGCTGCCAACTAGGAAAATTCTGGGATTCTATCCACTGCCTTTCCTTGTAAAGAGAAGCAAAGATTTCTATGCCAAGAGTGTAAACAGAGGAATGCTGTAAACTTCAGGCTCCTACCACAGCATACCTGGCAAGTGGCCTTTGCTTGAATGTGTCCATTGAGCAAGATTTTACTCCCCCCCCCACCCTTGCCCCAAGGTAGTCCATTCCACTTTGAGGCAGCTTGAATGGGGTGCAAGTTTTCCCTTATCTCCAGCTAAGTTGGCTTCTTTGCAGCCATTGCTTCTAGAGGTGGGGGCCAAGCAGAACAAATCTCTTCTTCCCTGAATCACTGAATTGAATACAGACTGTTTCTCTCTATCCCTCCTGCCAACTCACGTCGAGTC